GGGGGGAGAAGTGCAGTGTTAGGACAGTAACAGGTGATCAGCCTTTGACGCGGACAAAGTAGATCAGTTGATAGGTGACTTGAAAGTGGTGCGATGGTAATCATTTCCACCGCCTCTCAGAGAGAATCCAGGGTTGTCATGCGAGGGTGGTCATGTTTGAGACCGCGAAGTCTCTCATTTAGGTCAGTCCATGTTTCAGCAAATCTTTCTTTCTTTTTTTTTAAAGCCCGAGTTGTTGTCCTGCAAGCCACTTGTCTCTCCTTGCGTGGTTGATGGAGATTGACTTTGACCAGGGCTAGTTGTGCTGTGGTCTGTGTGGCAGGGGGGTGGAGCCAGCGGTTGAACAGCCTTAACCGCATGGGGGTGTTCACTCTGGCTTTTCCCTTGTTCGGACTGTTGTGTTAGCGCCATCTGTCCGACAGGGGGAGCTGGCTGGCTTTGTCGGGTCGGGTGTTCCGAGGGTACCGTTCCGGACAAAGGACAAGGTGGCCCTGTTACAGGCCCGGGGGGGGGAGTTCCACGGGTGCCACTCCGAAGTTTACCACCTCCTTTTTAGGGGTTCCACGTTTAGAGGCGGCCCTCAAATGAGAGGCCATGATCTGACGCATGGCTCCTGTATAAAAGATCATCAAGTCAAGCCGCATGTTTTTTTTCTCCTTCGTTGCGTTCCACCGGGCCTGGACCCGGGGTTACCCGGCAGGGGTCTTGGGTAGAGATGGCGAAAAAGCCTCAGTCATCAGCTCGGCAAGGGGGGACAGTAGACTCACAGGGCACCGAGACAGGTGGCAGGGAAACACCACAGCCAGGATCCTGGGCAGATATAGTGAAAAAGCCATTCTGGGGCAAAACCCTCGTGATTCCGAGGGGAATCGGCACAGATGGTGACCCCAACCAGCATATCCCCCCCGCGACAACGTGGCATCAGCGCGGGCCTTCTTTTTAACAAAATTCCTATGTGCATCCGACTCCAAAGTGGTGGTGCAAGGGGGGAAGAAAGTGTTGGCGAAAACTTTCCCAATGGAGAAAATGGAAAATTGGGATGGGATCTATCAGAGGCACGCAAGCAACTGGGTGTTTTCTGACAATGCAGCATACAAATCAACCAATGATAAAATAAGATGGATAAGGCTACATCTCGAAACACTGAAAAGGGATGCAGAAGCAGCCAGGGACTCCTTTCTCATCCAGCCCCTCTCCTTCACCACCTTTACGGTCCTGGCTATATATGAAAAGGATAAGCAAGCTATGGATGGGTGGAAAAGCATAAAATGTGACCGCTCAGAAGTACGAATCTATCCATGGTCTCCCCCTAAACAGATAGGACCTGAGCAGCAGGAGGCACAGATGATGGCACAACACTTTTGGGTTGAATTCCGACATATACCCGTCGAAATTCAAGCCACCTTCTTACAAGATTTGGGGCAACGTTATAAGATTCTCGATTTCATCGATCCCCTCCCCTCCTTCGTCGCACAACGGGACGGTTATCTCATGTTGGCCCTAGATGTCCCTGCAAGCTCCCCTTTCGCTATTGATGATGTTATCCCGTACAGAATCAGAGAAAGGGAATACAAGATCCATACTGCACACAAACTATGGCCAT